ATGGGAAGCTAGGGTGAGTCCCCCGTCAAAAGAAAAAAAACGGATGAAAAATGTTGCCTTCTTCGACTTGCTTGCAGTTAGTTTGGAAGATCAGCCTTGTTTTTCTGAATCATACCTACATAGGTCGTCCTGCTGTAGCAGTCTTTCTGCTAGGTCAGTACTTGTGAAGAAACTTTCACCCACAATATTCCTTTCTGTCTTGTACCAGGGATGAACCAATTTTTCAATGACCTGCATACCGAGATTGCCTTGGCGTGGAGCTTCTGGTTGCTTGCCCAGGTAAATTTCTCTAGAAAAGGGAGGATGATGTTGCTGCATCACAGTCCCACCAGTATTTCAAGCTATATTTGGCAGGCTTACTGGGCATATACTGTCTGAACGGTCATCGACCCCTGAATGCAATGAGGTGTTCATCAGCTGTCAGGTGTATCCCTGGAATATACAATTTCCTGAGTTGCTCCACAAATTGTGTCCAAATATCTCTGAAGGCAGTATGGTTGTCCACAGCTCCCCTTTCCTTACCTGTCAGTATGTTGCCAAATCTCAGGTAGTTGGTGATTTGACAGAATCATTTTAAACTCATGGTGGCACAGAAGCGAGGCTGCCCAGTGGGTTGCTCCCACAACCCCTCCAGTGACTCATGGCCACCATGGTATAGACCACTCAGCAGTAGGAGGCTAACGTAAGCTTTCAGTTCTGTTTCATCCAGCTTTTTCCACTCCTTTCTATTTTCAGGATGGTTATCATTTCACTCCCTGAATCTTCTTTCTGACTCTCTGTTTGCTTCTCTTCTGATAAGAGTCAGCATATCTTGTGAGAGAAAAAAGGTGGAACATTTCTACCACTGTGTCTTTATTACTTTCTCTTGTTGGCCCAGCAGTTTCATGGACTATGTCCTTGACTGTTCTCCGATGATGTATTAACTGTGGACATTTTTCCCACACTCTGCCATTCTTCCTTTAATGGTGTCATCATCTGCAATGTTTTCTGGGGGCGGTGGCAGTGGCTCTGCTCCACGTCCTGCTATAGCTCTCCTCTGTCTTCCACAGCACCTCCGGGCTGGTCCTCTTCCCTTTCCCACTGGAAGTCTTGGCATCACTTCTGCTTGTGGTACCAACTCCTGCTCATTGCTTTGGGATAAGATTTTGTGAGTGGATGTGTCACTGTCATCCCCAGTTACCTGTGCAAGATAGGCTTCAGCACTGAGTATGCACTGACTTCTCATCCTGGACTGCAGAAAAAAAGATAAAAATTATTACCACTGAATACGTATAAATAACAATCAAAGACAAGCCTGTCCACCTATGCTGTCACAGAACCAATTCTGCCTTGCCCTGTGGCAGCACAGGTAGCACCCTCTCCTTCTGGGCACAGAAGCCAGAGGCCAGCACCTACCCTTTACACGCAAGCCAAATGTGGGTGGATGCTGTTTGGGAACCACCCATGCAGGGGCTAATTGAAAGAAGGTAAAAGGGTAATTGGGGGTGTTAAGCCCTTATCGTTGAAGGGGACTCCATAGTGTATGTTGTATTGCAGTATGATTGATGCTGTTCTACTTCTTTTCTGCTGTCCCTTTGCTCCTTGTCTTCATTTCCAACAAATGCAGGGCAAACTAGCTTGTATTTTATGAAAGAGGAGGTGAGGTAGAGTTTTGTCATGAAAAAAGAGAGCAGAGGTAGATTTGGGTGTGACAAAGGGTGTGTTTTTTTGGATTTTTTTTGCAAAGGGCAGGATGTTTTGATGACCTTGCAGCCTGCAAACAAAGTGGTTAGCCAAAGGGATTACCACATGTTCTGCAAAAGCAGAGTGGAGGATGGCTATCTATTACTTACTATGGATACCTGAGGTGAACATGAATGAGGTATGGATGAATGCTGACCTTTCAGATGCATACACCAAAAGTGGCTAAGCAGGTCTACGCCTGTCATTTATACAGTAATTGCATTGGGGTAACAAATTATCTGAATGTGTTAACATGGGCTTGGGGCTAATTGTTTCCCTATATGGAAAAACACATTCACACCTGGGGTAACATGTTACCCTGTTTTTCAGTTTTTCATCTACAGAGAGCAAACCATTCATGTAAGCTGGCTGTTCTTTGGGGGTATTGTGCACTCCAGTGCCATGTATAATGTCCTAAAAAGGGAAAAAAAAAATAATTAAGTTTAAGATACTGTACAAAATATGTGTCTGGGGTAGGAAATTGCTAGAGGTGTGTGAAATGGGCTCTATTTGATATGGGTTCAGCCTGAATCAGGGACAGTGATTTGATTCATTGATTCAGATCACTGTCCCTGATTTGATTTGGCCAAATCTGAATCTGAAGATTTGATGCTGATTTGGAGAGTCAGCAATTCAGCCATAGACTGGGGACCCCCCACCCCGTGCTTCTGTGGGAAGCTCCATGCGCCCCAGCACTGCAGCCATTCATGCCGCGTGCTACCTAGAGGTATGTAGAAAAAACATTTAAAGCTGTGTCTATGTCTGAATCACTGAATCTTTCTAAATCTCTCCAAATCAATTAGAAGGGTTCTGATTTGATTTGGAGAGTTTAAAGGGTCCTCTGATTCAATTTGGATTTGGAGATTTGGCCACCGAATCGTGCCAAATTGCTACTGAATCAAATCAGGGACTGAAGATTCACAGAGCCCTAGAAATTACCCCATGGAAAGATATGAACGTTAAACCATACTAACACAATCCAGTTCTTGGGTGATTCTTTTTTCTGCAACTTTCCATTCAAACTGGTTTTTTTTTTACATTTTTTTGCTTCCTGAGCTCAGAAATCCTCAGGTCTTTGATAGAGAGTCCAGGGAGGTTAAAGTGTTCTGACATGGACCCTGGTGTCTCTATAGCTGTTGTCAGGTTGGTGTGCTTTCATTCTTACCCATCGAGATCACCAATGTAGCACCAGCCAGGCACTGTAAGCAGATATGACATTGGCAGAGTAGCAGGTGGGTGACCCTTGGATGCTGTACTCCTTGTTAATGGTCCAGTGACAATGTGGCTTGAATTGCTATGGGGGCACAGGAGGCATTTGGGTCCATTGCAATGCTTGGTGCCTCAGTGAGGTTAAGAGTTAGGTAATCTGTTGCTTGAGCAAGGTTTTTTACGGTTGGGGGCTGTCAGTAAGCCAGTGCAGATTTACACCCCGTGGCTACCTTGAGACAATCATACTTTTCAAGAAAGGTTTAGACATCTATAATGATGTGTCTCAGGTGCTGAAGCTGGGGACTGTAGGCAACATCAGGAAGCATTCTGTTGTCCTAATTCCAGAGTTGGTACTGCAGGCAGTGGGAATGGAGGCTGAGTCTGACTTTATTAATTTGAGTAGCAACAATTTGGGAATTGAATTGGAATGGAACGAATCCTTGCTCCAGATCTTTAAGGTATGCATCCCAGTAGGTGGGATCAGAGTAGATAAGGTTGTGACATACAGCTTGGCTGCAGAGGATGGATCTAATGGTGTGCTTAGTAGAAAAGCTGATGGCACAAAGGTAGCTGCAGCATCCTGTTGGTTTGTCACATATTGTGGTGGTGAAGTGGTAACTGCAAAACCTCACTTTAGTATGTAGGAAATGTATGTGCTTGGTAGAGTATTCCAGAGTTGGTTTCATGGAGGGGGGGCAGGTGGCAAAGTCCTGGTGAAATTGCTCTACAAACTCCTTCCCATATATCCATATTGTGAAAAAGATCTTTGATGTACCTGAGGTACTCCAGGTGGATAAGAGGGCAGCAGTGGAGTAAATGGACTTCAAGAGATGTCCTAAACATGTTGGCATATTGGGTGGGGAGGGGAATATAAGAGTCTAATGGAAACAGGAGCAGTTTTCTAATGGGGAATAAAGTTCCTTATCCCTTATAATCCATCCTAATGGAAGAGGCTGGCACGCAGACACATGACATCCACAGTTACTATGTTCAGCACAGACCACGGGACAAAACCTAGAGGTATTTGTAAAACATTATAACAGCACCACATTGTTACCAATACATCTTTGGGTTACTAATTTGCTCTGTGACCAGTCAGGAGGGTTCTGCCAAACAAGGTAGGTCAAGCAGGGGAAGACCTGGATTTCAGTTCTGCATAAAACCCCCGAAGGAACAAAGCTTTTGCTGGTTTGGAAGTTCTGTTACCCTCAGAGGGGAGCACAGAGCCTGAGCCTGGATGTTTCTTATCAAAATGAAATCTTCCCCTTACTGTCTGGGGGCTTGGAAGCCACTGGAGGCCCAGCTCCGAGGCAGCTCTGAAAGGTAGCTGTAGTGGAGCCCTGACTCCTTTTACCTTCCTGCACAGGTTGTAAGTTTAGCCTCTGCTGTTGAGAAGGGGTAAGGTCAGTGTCTGGTGTTTAGTCTGGTCCTGCAGGGTCTTCCATGCTAGCGACTACCCACATGGTACCTCTTGCCAGCCCCAGCAGCATTAGAGGGGTGGAGGGGATGATGACGTTAGATCATAGATGTGGGAGGTGGGTTATTGGGAATAGGGGAGCTTTCTATCATTTATCGCATCACAGATACATGATACCTTGAAGAGCCATATGGTACATGAATGTATCCCATGGATACCATCTGGTCTCATGTGATCTGTGAATTGTATGGGAAACTGGGGCCTCCTCTCTCACCCACCTTGGGGTGGAGACCTCTCTGAGTCAGCATGCAGGCACAGGATAGGGAGGAAAGAAAATGTTTTGCAAATTTGATTCCAGGACCAATTTCTGGAGGACTGAAATGCCCTCATGTGAAGTTTGTTGAGGAATCAAAGTTGAGCACACCCTGCCTTATAAATGTTCCATGAGAGTGCAGCTGTCCTTTGCTACCTGTTTCTCATCCAACCAATTACAGGCCTGAGCTGCAAAGCATCTCTGACCTTCCTTTTGCTGGGTCATGGCTTGGACGTCCCCTGTGGTCAGTGCTATAAGCAGGGAGAACTCACAGCTCTGTGTCCTAACACAGGGGTCAGAAGAATCGACCTGATTGTGCCCCATGACTTTGCCTTCCAGGTTTGTGCTCTCAGACCCCAGTCCTCAGAATTATCGAGATGGAGCGTGTGCATTTTTGCAAGGTGAAAAAGTGAAACCTGGAGGCTGCGGAGATACTTGGTTCTGCATTTGTGAGACGAAGAAGAAAGCACAAGGAAAAAATAAACTTGTTTGACCCAGCAGACAGACAGTGTGGCAGGGGCTGGTCAAGGGGATCATTGCACCTGAAGGAGGGGTATGGAGCTCAGGAACAGAAATCGATCCACCAGCATAAATCTCTGAATCTTTTGTTGCTGTTTGCATGGTGGCGGGTGGGGGAAGCAATTTCCTAAATTGCATTTTGGGGCAGTGTGACTGCTAACCTCAGACTGTCTGTGAAACCACACAGACACAGGCAAATCTCACCTCCTTCTTCTACCTCTTTCAGTTCATGCTTATAACAGTTGAGAGCAATTTCTCTCCCCCACAGCTGAGCTGCATCTGCTGGAGCCAGCTGAGAGGGGACTCTCCTGCCTTCATTACAACCTTGCTGCTTCTTTTCTTGTCCCAGTGATGGTCTTTCATGGTAGCTTGGCAATCCTTCTCACAAACAAGATGTTCCAAGAACTAATGGTGTGCATAGCCACAGGGGACATCATAGGCCTATGAAAATCAGATGGAGAAACATCCATTATCTCATGGTGACTGCTCTTGCCCAGGCACAGATGCTCCCTGTTGTGTACAAGGGAGGATCTAGTCCTATTCAGCAGCAGGAGTCTTAAAGGCTGGGGTTTCCACCACCACCCTGGGGAGGCTCCATGTCATCTATCTGCTACTGAAATGTCACCTTGGTTCTGAAAATAAAATGTCTCCCACCACTTGTGTGTACCTCTGCTTGGATAATGGGTGGGTGTGTCAGGAACATGCCTTTCTGGTTTCTTTGGGGCAATAGGAGATCCATACCCTAGAGAGGCCTATTGGGTGTCCCCAGGTTGGGAGTGTCATTGGCAAGAGGATGGGTGGCTCAGTGTCAGGTGTCCTCCTGCAGGTATCAGCCATGGCCCCAGGCCTATGACATCCTGGCCACCCCATCTGGGGCTGGGAAATCAGTTATCAATCAAGTAAGTCTATGGGTACCCATAGAAATTTACCTATGGGCAAATTACTATCAGAGTCTTTATTTCAAGGTCAGTGTGTTTTAGTTGTTCCTCATTTCCATGGGCAGAGGGCAAAAGGGCTATCTGACCCCCAAGATTTATTTCCCTTGCTGTAGCAGTGGGAGGGGGACAGAGTCAATACAAGCCTCCAATAATTAGATTCTATACCTGGAGAATTATATCAAATTTATCAATTTTCCAAATATAGTATCTAATTATTGGGGTGGGGTAGTGGAAGTCATCCTATATTCAAGTAAGTGCAATCTTTCAGTCTGCTCTAACCAGTCAATGAAGTTCACCTCCTCACCCAGTGCCTACAAAGAAAATCCACAGTAATCAGTCAACCTAAGCGGAGAGAATGATTTTGGCTGCAGGAAGCTAATCCTAGGGTATGACAGGGAAGGTTTTGGCTCCCAAGATTGGAACATGGTTTTGCCCAGTGAAAAGCTATTTAGAGTCCAGACTTTAATGTGGGTTTAGTGAGAGAACAAAGCAATTTAAGACATGGAGCAAGAACAGTCATTTTATACTATTCTGTTGTGTGACTCTGGTTTTCAAGGCACACAAAAAGCAGGCAAAAGGCAGAGCAGGAAAATGGCACCCAACACTTGACATTTCCATGAGTCTAAAACCTACTTAATCCAGAAACAGAACTCTTTCAGGACAGCAATTATACAAAGGCAAAAACTGGTTAGTTCAGTTCTCTGGCAAATCAGAAAAGTTAAGAAAAAAATGTTTGATTGACCCAAAATTACGTTTTGTGTTTTGTGTTTCACTTTAAAAAAAATCTGGATAATGCAAATTGGAATACATTTCTGTCAGGTGAAACAAAATAATTCAGAGAACAAGAAGGGAGAAACTTGGTTTAAACTATTGTTCTTGTTTTGTTTTTCCCTAAACTGGGACAGCGTTTCAAAGGAAGAAAATATTCTGACTTCAGAAGTTGAAAAGCTTCATTTCAAGAAGGCAGCAGTAAATCAGAGCAGTTAGAATCTTCCATATAGTTTTCAACACAATTTGTGCAAGACCTAGATGAATCTGACTGACAGCATCAAATTTTACTGAGTTCATTTGGGTGGGTTCATTTCTCTTTTTTGGCAAAGCAGACCAGGTTGATGCAGTGTAGATGTTGTATACCATTTGTCCTCTTACTTGAAGCAGTTTATCTGCCCCACTGTAAGCCCTATGACTGCAAAGCTCTAGTGTCATAGGGGATCTTGATGCATCCTGACACTAACTGCATCTTATTGGTGACCAAGTGGAGCCTCTATTACAATGGAGGCTCTGGGGTGCTATGATGTTTATTTAAGTCACCAAGTTGGGCAGGGAGCACACCCTGCCCCCTCCTCCTGCATCTCCCCTGTGAACCAAGTAAAGACTCTGCAAGCACCCGAGGTCCTCCTGAGCCCCAAACCCGGAAACCCCATAGTGGCTGCTTAGTGTAGGTGTGCAGGCTGGAACAGGTCTTGTTGCCATTGCAAACCTCTATACGTTGCTCTGGGCTGTCCTTTCAAAGCATCTGATGAAGTGAACTTGGGTTCCCCAAAGTGTGCGTTCTTTACATATAGCTTATTTACTTAGTATATAAAAGTGCATATCTACCCTGCCCTCAGCCGGCACCGAGTCATACCGGACAGTAGCATGCTGCTGTGGTTAGAAAGCTCTGGGATCACAACTAGCTGTGGTTTCTAGTATTGGATGCTTCAACCCTTTTAGCAGAGTATGTGCAATGCGTGTGGTCTCCTGTACACCAGATTATTTTGCTTTGAAGTTACTAGAGCTGCTGAAATGTTACATGTGGTTATTCTGGGCCAGGCCTTTAACTGGTAGGAATAGATCTAACTTTGCCTGAACTCCCTGAAGCTAGGGTGCTTGACACCAGCTGAGAACCTGTACTGTTGTCTTGTGCCAAGGTTTAGAAATTGGGAAATATTTTCATGAAGCAACAGGGCCATTAAACAGGGCAAAAGCTTTGCTTTTCTGTGCACTGAAAATGCAACTTTACACCTCAGACTTTGTAAATCTAGGGGGAGAAAGAGTCATATAGACTGTGGAAGCAAGAGCTAGCTACCAAGGAGTAGTATACCTGCTTGGCTCACACTTGCAGGGAATCAGTGAGGAAGGCCAAAGCAGAAATGGAACTCAGGCTGGCAACAAAAAATAAAGACAACAAAAAGTCCTCCTTTAGGTACATAAGGAGTAACAAGAAGGTGCATGGAAACATAGGACCCCTACAGGACAGACTAGGGCAACTGGTAACTGATAGGAGGGACAAAGCTGAGCTCCTAAATGAGTTCTTTGCATCTGTGTTCCTGAACATGGATAAAGACATATCTCCCAAAGGGTCTATAGACAGGCACAGGAGGGACTACAACCCACCAAGAGTTAGCCCTGACCGAGTGAAGGGGCATTTGGAGGGGCTGCACATGTTTAAGTCAGCAGGCCCTGATGATCTTCATCCAAGAGTGCTGAAGGAATTGGCAGGTGTTATAGCAGTACCACTGGCATGGTTGTTTGAGCACTCATGGACGGATCCCGGTGGAAAAGGGCCAGTGTGGTCCCTATTTTCAAGAAGGGGAGAAAGGACGATCTGGGTAACTATAGACCACTTAGCCCCACCTCTATCTTTGGGAAAACCTTTGAAAAAATGATTAAGGATCATATTTGTGGGAGTCCAGTAGGAGAAATATTGCTGAAAGGCAACCAGCATGGCTTCATAGCAGGTAGATCCTGCCTGACTAACCTTGTTTCTTTTTACAACCAGATCACAAAATGCTTAGATGCAGGAGTTGAGGTAGATGTAATATACTTGGATTTTAAAAAGGCCTTTGATACAGTGTCATATCACATTCTTATAAATAAATTAAGCAGTTGCAATGTTGATGGCCAGGTGGGTGGAGAATTGGCTTATGGGACCCACTTAGAGGGTGGTGGTGGACAGGACCTGGAACAATGTGGGCAGTGGAGTTCCTTGGACCAGTGCAGTTCAATATCTTCATTGGTGACTTGGATGAGGGCTTAAAAAGCACTCTGTCCAAATTCATGGACAACACCAAATCATGGGGCAAAGTAAACACATTGGGGGTCAGGGAGTGGATTCAGGTGGATTTGGATAGATTGGGAAAGTGGGCAGGGCAGAACAGAACAGGATGCAGTTCAACAAAGATACATGCAAAGTGCTGTATCTAGGGAGAAAGAATCATCAACACACCTACAGGCTGGGAGGTGACTTTCTAAGCAGCACAGCAGCAGAAAGGAATTTCAGAGTCATAGTCAACTCCAAAATGAACATGAGTTGTCAATGTAACGAAGCAATAAGTAAAGCCAACTACATTGTTTCATGCATTAGAAGGTGCATCATGAGCAAGTCGAAGGAGGTGATACTTCCCCTCTATGTGGTATTGGTAAGACCACAGCTGGAGCACTGCATCCAGTTCTGGGTGCCACACTTCAAGTGGGATGAGACTAACAAGGAGGGCTACTTGTATGGTTTTGAAGCCTTTTGTTCTATTGTGATTTCACTGTTTTGAGTTCAAAACAGGTCAAAACAGCATCGTAACCAGGTAGCTGGTGAAATTTGGCACACCCCTAATGGCTGCCACTGAAATGGCGTTACAAGGTCTGGAAGGACAATGGATCCATGAGAAAAAATCCACAAAACTGTGTTGCCATATACAGGCAGAACAGGGAAAACTTAAACTATATCACAGCGAATGCGGCAACCTGGGCCACCCAGTCTGGGAAGCTACATAGACACTGAACAAACCTGAATTCTTTCTGCCTCTAGTATTTTATGCATGTGTCTGTTGACAGCACACTCTCCCCTCCCCACAGCCCAGCTGCATCTCCTGCCCCCAGCAGTAATGGGCTTCTCTGCCCTCATTGCATCCCCAGATGCCTTTTTTTGGCCCTGCAATAGGTTCTGATTCTATTTTGGCAATGACATGGACCAACAGGAAGTCCCAAGAGCTAATGGTGTATACGGCTATAGGGAGTGTCACAGGCTCACACAAATATTTGATGAAGAAGCACACTTGAT